CGAATTAATGACTCGTGTCACGAAACAAAAGGAAAACGGATGTTGTTCGACTNTTTTTTTTTTTTCGACGATAGAATTTGTAATGAGATCCATCAATTAATCTTAAACGAATTGAAATTATAATCTTAAAATGTTGAAATTGAAAAGAGAGCAATGTTGATCGCGGGTCAAGCTTTCGACTTCTCGGCATTTGAAACGACGTACGGACATAGTACATCGGCCTTAAATAACATTCTAAGTAAGCGCTTTCTCAGAATGCGAACGTTCACTTGGACGAGCGTTAGTTACAAATGTGTGTACGATGAACGGCAACATATTATTTTGTTCGTTTTCCAGCTGCAACGCACTATCGTGAATGAAGCTAATACTGACTGCCCGATAAACTCGCGGAACGTTGCCCCCATAAACGAATACAAACACGAGATAAACCTTGTTCCCGGTTAATTAATCGATAATAGAATACAACATTTAATTCACCCATCATTTAACGGATGAAAAAACAAATATTCTTATCTCCAAGCTCGTTTTTTAAGATAATGCAAAGGAAACCGCTTTTTCCATCGATCGATCTCGATCGTTTCTTCGGACAGGGAAATCTGTCGCATCGGAAAACGAACTCTTCGATCCTTTCCGTTTCGATTCGATCCGAATCGAAGTCGAAGATCGAGGATCGAGTCGAAAGAATACGAAAGAAAACTCGAACGTTTCGAGCGTGGATTTCCATCAGGCTGGAGATTTTATCTCACGCGCGACCCAATTTCAAAAAACTCCACTTATAAATAAGCCACGACTAATGCCGTAAATAAAAACGTGCCAACCTTTTCCGTATCGTTTTGAACGCACTCGGTGCACATACGAACTTGGTCTCGTGCAACTTTCTTTTCGATTCGATTTCGACGAGATCGAAAATTCGAAAAATTACCGAAGTCACCGAATTCACAATTTGATGAAGCTTCCTCGCCTAACTGTTTTCTCTGACAGACTAGTGGATTCTCTGGCAAACCACTTAACTTCTACTCGACTGATTCCCCCACCCGGTACCCTAACGAAGGAGGCGTATACAAGGTGATCGTGAAGAGTGTATCATAGCTTTTCCAAGGACGGTTATTCGAAAAGACACATAAAGACATTGTTGTTGTCTGTTGTACACGTGCAATTTGTTTCATTAAGCCGCGACTGTCATTGCTGTGAAATTACTATATAACGTGTAACCGCTTGTATTTTACTACGTTACCTCGATCTAATACTATTATATTATATTACATAATTTCATGAAACAAAATATAACCAGACGAATAAATCAGAGAAATTAAATTTTTATGCAGATAATTTTTAATTGCAATGCGTTTGTTTCTTTTTTTTTTTTTTTTTTCTTTTTAAATTTACGATGAACAATCGGTTTTATTTGTGAAAACGATAATAATTTATGTCCAACGCGATAATTCTCGCTCCTTTCTCAAAAATCACGTTACCGTGTATATCGTGTTATTCGTTCCTTACCGATTAAATAATCGTATCGTTAAAACGATCCGATCTTACATAATCGATATTTATTAGCCATCTCGTGCACGAGTGTAGTTAAGAAAGGAAGAATTAAGAAGGAAAATTGCATCGATATCACGAAACAACAACAGCAAAGTTTCCATAAAGAGTTTCCTCCTTTGCCATCCGACGAGAAAATTCCATCCCTCTTCTTATCGTTCGTCGACAATACAACACCCTTCGTGTCGGGAACCCCTCGAATCGATCCAACTCGCGATTTTCATCCATTCGAATCGCGATTCTATAAATCTCGTGTACAATTGCGACGAGAATTATTCAACGGAAGAATTTGATTTTAAATTTTTCTTAATAGGAACGAGATATTTTGAAAACTCGGGACGATTTGCACTCGACACGTTACTCGCATCGTCGGGTGCGTCGGCGCGGCGTCATCGACGCCGACTCGGATCGCCACGTGCAGGCCCGTACAATGGAACTCCGTGTTCCGTGCACACGTAATTAAACATTCTCTGTACGCGTTGGCGTTGATCGTTCGAACGATTCCAGGGGGGAATTTTTCCTTCCGTTTCGACCGTTGCAGTTTCGCTCGGTCGATGGATTTTCCATTAAACCGATCCAGCTCCAACCGTCCAACAAACTTTTTTTAAGCGCCCCACAAGGATTCATCCCTGTCTTGGGACAAGGTGACGACAACGCCATGTCGACGTTCGCCCCTATACCTGGTCCTCGCCGCAACCCCCGTTACGTCCCTAGTTGACCGTGATTCGCGACGAGAAAACCGTATTCGGGGGATTTTCGTGTTTTGCTGGTCGGGTTGCCGTCAGGTTGCCGTTGTTATCCGTTGCCGCCGGACTGTCACTGTCGCTAGGCGAATTTGGGCTATGAATGAAGACCCAACCCTTTCATATCGAGGTAATTAGAGAGAGAGAAGAGAAGAGATCGGAGAGTGTTTGTATCGACGGGCGGAATGGTCATCGTCTGTTCGTCACGTCGAGAGCGAGACTGCGTCATTACGAATCAATTTTTCTACCGTTCGAGATCGTGAAGGACGTAGGGGAGATCGGTTTTTTTTTTTTATCAGGGGAAACGTCGTCGCACGGGAACGGAGGAAGTAATGGCTAAAACGATCAGAGTGCGTGAAAAAATATTTTTCCTACACATGACGTTCATCGCACATGATCCTTTCATTTGCACTGTTAAATAACAATAATATACGTATAGTATACGTATCGATAGATATTTAATAAAGTTGAAAAAAGAGAAAATGATCAAAGGTGATAAATAGTCAACGGTGTCGTGATAATTACTTTACGGGCATGCACGCGTACGTCGAGCTCGTTGCTCGTCTGCGAGAGAAAATATCGACGGGAAATAAGAGGGAAAAATACGCGAGAAATAATGTGTTTTTCAGGTCTTGATAGTGTTACTGTTATCGGTAATCCCGTGGCCAGGGCCCAGCGTGTTTAAAATATCATGCCCACGCGATCGAGCGTCCGTGGTGAGGAGGATAGTGCAGAAGGTAAAGAAACTTTTAACTCAAACCAATTCGTTTTTAAACGAATCGCATGCACGTTGCGATATAAATTTTGGAGAGGAGAAGTGATAATTATCCAATTTCGAAATAGCTATCTCCCTGGTTTTTTTCAGAGATGGATGCCAATTCTGAAGAAACATCAAGTGGAATTGCCGCTGGAGTGTCCGTTCCACGAAAGTCGGGACATTTTTCGACCCCAGCAAAAGGCGAAACATCAGCACAGACCATCGCAATGGACCTGCGGCCTGTGCGGCAAATCCTTCTACGCGGAGAAACACTTGGATGCCCACTTCGATAACAGACACAAGAGTAACGTTAACACGGTAACTTTCCGCCTCTTCAGTTATTTACGATTTATACAAAAGAGCGTTTCGTTATATTAAAAAAAAAATTCCTCTTCAACCGCGTAATGAAATGTGGCTGTTACGATCTTATTCCATCTTTTTCTCGATTACAATCGATTGATAATATAAGGAATCATCTTTTTCGTTTTCCACTCGTCCCAGACTATCGATATATCGCGTCACCCGTTATCGATACGAATTATCTCGAACAGAGATAATTCGAGAGAGATCGAATTCCAAATGTATCGAATTATGATATAAAATTGTAATCGTGTGAACCAGGCGGAGGATGCGGTGTGCCTCGCGGATTATTGCGACATCATGAGATGCGACGTGCTGGGGAACAGGGACTTCGAAAGTTCTTTGGTGGACGACGAGGGTGGCCACCACAGCACCGACATACAAGTGTGGAAAGAGAACACGGAGCAACGTACCACTTCGGTCATGTCCTGCGAGTCGCGGGCCGGTTTATCGAGGACGTATCCGGTGGAGAAGGGTTGCACGATATCCGGAGGCGGTGCTGTGACCAACATTCAGCAATATTGCCATCGAGAAGACAGCGGCGCTCTGGAGAACCATCGTCTGCCGGGTACGGCGTATCACGTGGAGATCGCTGGCCCCGACAACAAGAGCAACGCTTGCGACAATGAAGAGGACGAGGACGAGGAGGACGACGAGGACGACGAGGAGAATCTCGTCGAAGCGGCTTTGCCAGCCGTGGACAAGAAGCAGAGGCGCAAGGGGTTGCATCTGAGGAAGCTGAAGGCCAATTGCAAGCCGGAGGAGCTGCAAAAGCTGAAATTGCAGTGCGAAGTTAGTTTGACTTCGTGGGACGGTTGTAGAAAGAAACGGTTAAAGACGATGGGTCTGATTTATCTCGGAGGCATTTCTTGATATGAAATTTCGATTAAATCGAGGAATAATCGAGAGATAGGAATAAATATACGATAAGGGAACGTTTACAATAGATGTCTTTTTAGGCCAGATGAATGGTTGAGTTTTTTGTCATCTCTGGAACTCCAAGGTTACAAATCAGGGTTTAAGTATGTAAAATTGACGTATTATCAGGTACCTGTTTGTTGTCTTTGAAAGCTTCGATCCTCGTAAAATGCTTGGTTTATTGAATATCTTATCCAACAAAAAAAAAAATCTCTCAAGTACGAATACCTCTCCTTGTAGAGAAGGCTTACTTTGGCTTAATTTGTATATCATAAAACGAAGAAATCTGTTGAGCAAAATCTCCAGACCCATGTATATTATCGCTAATTAATCTTTAACATAATAATTAGTAAACTAACAACAACACAAAAATTGAATGGCAATAGAAAATAATATTAATTATCTTGTTTGTTTCGCACTCACGTTATTTTAAAATTATTGACAGGTATTGATTCGCGATTGCATCGCCGGTCTTTTGACAAATCTTTCGGTACGAGATTTCCAAGAGATCGAAGGTATAATTATTAAAATTCATTAAAAATCCAAGAGAATTTTACCGATAAATCTTATTTATGAATTCTCATCATTTTCTTTCTTTCTTTCTTTCTTTCTTTTTAGGAGAGTTGAACCGAGCGATATGCTGGTATCTTAGCTGCGACAGATACTGGGAAGACACGAAGAGGCAACAGAGGCATACACCTTGGTACCTGTTAACCATTTTTATGGTCGTTCTATTCTCGTCGATTTACGCGTGCTACTATATTATTTGGGTATTATTCAAGTACGTACGTTTAATCAGTTTAGATAAACGTGAAATTATTTACTATCTTATCGTTACTTCTATTTACATATAGACATTAAATATTATGATACATAGATACATACATAGATACATACATATATACATACATATATAGACTGAAGAATAAAAATTATCATTAATGGAGTATTTGTCATCATATCGTCTATTAAAGAGGAAATATTACAGGAAGGAGTTACAAATATTCAAGATAATTCTTTCTTCTTTCTTTTTCTTTTTTTTTCCTCATAAAAAATTCGGAATAATCTTTCGACGATATTATATATTGCGAAATATATACAACAATAACACAATAGGAATATCTTTTCAATGATATTATTGAAAATTCGATATGGAAATTTATATTAGTATTGACTCAATAAATATCTTACGTAAAAGTTCAAAGATCATATCTTTTTTTACTTGTAATCGTTCGTATATTGCTTTTTCTCTTTTCTCTTTTTTTTTTTTAAATTCATAATCTTTTTTTTTCAATTAATATTATAAAATAATATTCAAAATAATTTTGTATTTTTGAACGAATAAGCACATCATTGTTGTAATTAACGAAACATCGTTATTACCGTTTAATCGAAAAATTAATGCGTCCACTAAAACACATTCTTCTACATTTCCAGTTCAGCGGAAGAAGATAGGCTAGATGGAGGCGGAAGTTTAGATTACACGGATGGAGATATCACGGGTACATCGCACGAGCAGAGTAGTTCTGGCGAGAGTAGATCCGGCGGGAGAAGGAAGGGTGAGCCAGGGGATGAGAATATGCCCACATCGAACGAAGAGATGCCCGACCATTATATATACGTAACCTATCCACCCGAGCTAAAGCAGCGATTACTGGACAGGTAAATAAACTGAGAGAAAAAATTTAAAAAAAAAAGTATTAAACAGTACAATGGGTATCGATGATCATACGATAATTGATTGCAGCTGCTACAACAGAACCACTCGACTCTAGAAGATCGAAGAGATAGGAGAAGGTTGGACAGAGAATCGATCGGGAAACGTAAGAATAATCGCAAGATCCCACGAGTCAGTTTCATGGCTAACCATCATACTTCCTTCCTTATTTTTCCTCCTCTCCTTTAATCTTCGTGTTTTGTATACCAACTATGGGAATAAATTGAAAAATGTACACGAGTAAAGAATATCTTATTAACACGTGTATGTGTTTTTCAATCCTTATTTTCTCTTATAAAAATATGATGTACGTAAACTTCAGATTAAGATTAGAAATCTTTTAAAAATTCAGAGATATCTTATCTCTGAATTATATAAGCAACTTATCTCCGAAATTATAAAGCGAATATTAAATGAATCCAATTTTAAATTAATATTTAATTATTATTTCCGGAGTATATATCGATCGATTTCCGAATCTTATTGATCGATGATCCCAGTTCAAAAGATCAATTTATGTTTATAATTTGAAAAATCATCGACGAGTTAAATTTTAAAATAAAATCGCATGATCGTTGTAATATTAAATATAGTGTGGAAAAAAACATAATTTAACTTGGATTCATGTTTGATTATATGACAAAAAAATATGTTGTCATATAAGATTATTGATATTTAAAATAACATCATTTCCGTACTTTTGCATTTTTTAATTTTTTTTTTTTATTATAAAATTTCCAAGCTATCAATGACGCAACCTAAACTAATTTTTTTTATCGCTTTCGATTAAAACAGCAACATCATCATTACAAAATGCAAAATTAATCGTATTAGATATCTATACCAGACCAAAAAAATATTATACACAAATATATACTTCAACTCGCGTAGGAATAAAACTCGAAGAAACAAGACACGCGGCCAATGCTTCAATAATACTTCCCTTTCGATTCGATAATGTGTCTCGGATTTTATTTCGAAACTCGATGCTCGATTCAAAATCTAAAACCAATAAGTCATCTTAATGGACCCGTCGGAATCACGCTGCGTGTCCATCATGCTGGATTGACGAACCAGCCGACGCACGCTCGGTCTTTGCTGATCCTCCAACAGCCTTTGAGGTATCGGTGCCTCGGGTACTTCGTGCATCTCCACCGTCTCTCTCGCCGACAGATCCTCGTAAGACGCCGCGGCCGACGAAGGTCTACCGGAATCCATCCAAAAAACGAAACCGTCCATTAAAATCCCGTCTCTTGGCGCGGGACAAATTTCTACATAATATCGATAAAATAATTCGTACTTGGTTGGAACGCAGCGAAAACAATCGGCACAAGTCCAATCTTTGCCGAACAATTCCCCTTCCTCGACGGTTTGGGGCAATCGATGATGCAGAGTCTCGGGCAAACGCAGGCCTGACAATCCGCCGATTACAGATACGACGCCAAGAATTACGAGGGGCAGCACCAAGTTTTCCTTGCCCTGCGCGAAATGACGCAAATGCTTGCAAGATTCATCTGACCAGCGGCAATATATATATAGATATATTTACGATCACTTACGAGATACGTAACAAAGGGAATGATTATTAGTCCCAGACCACTGATGTAGGCAGAGAAACCGATCGCTACGCCGCGCAATTGCGTGGGGTAAAGTTCACCGGCGAACGGATATATAATTAGAAAGGAGGCCGATATCGCGGATTTCGATAAGAGGAATAGAATTAGCGTGGTCACAACCGCATCTGTAAAAAAGAAGAAGAAGAAGAAAGACAATGAAAAAAGGAGGGACGAGATTCTATTTTTTTGTTCATCGCTATCATCGTTTAACCGATGAAGCGATCTTTCATTTCCCTGCTCCATTTCCCTGCTTTTCTCGGAACGATTCGATACCGGGTGACAAAAGAACTGTGGTAATGCACGAGATTCCAGCCACCACCATGCTCAAGCAAAGAGGCCAACGGCGACCCCATCGATCCATCACGACCCAGCAAGCCATGTAGCTAGGAATCTCGGCAAGAGATGAGAAGAAGAAGCTCAAGTGTTCCTCGTTACCCAATGCTGGCCCATAATACGATAATCCAACGTAGACCATGTTGTTCGCGAACCTGGAAAAAAAGAGAAAAGGGATCGAATCAGCGATAAATTGCTTTCGCAACTCGTAAAATTATAAAAAAATCGTAACGTGATGCGAACGTTTATAATAAAATGAAAATTTCGAAATTATATAATTAATAATAAACAAAAAAATAATATTTTTTTAACGAATATCTTTTACATTTGAACTTTGATTTACCAATTTAGAGTGATCAAACATGTTTTTAATCGCATGTTTGGAGTTTTGAAGAGTGATAAAACACCGGGACCGCTACGTAATCTCTCTTCTTCACTTTTGGACCGTGACATCATCATACGTTGTCGTAATTTTTGCGTGAAAGAAAGCGGCAACTCTTTTCCATTTACTTTTGCCAATCGTTCCAAGATATCGTTCGCCTCGCCCAACCGACCTTTCGCCAACAACCATCTCGGTGACTCTGGCAAGAACCTGAAACGATCTTACGCGTTATTACAATAATACCGTTCGCAAACAAAGGCGAAAAAGAAGGATCATATTATATAATGATGATAACTTACCACCAGTATAAGATGTACAAAAGAAATGGCGCACTCGTGACTATGGCTAACGTTCTCCAATCTCTTATCAAGTACGTGACACCGGCCAGCATACACAATCCCATTGTATAGAAACTGCAAGTCATCACTGTCACGAATGATCGATAATTTGGACCAACCAGTTCCAAAGCTGTTTGCATGAAATCAAGAGACAAATTAACATTCGTTCAAGTTTCCGTGAAAACATATTTGACGGCGTCGTTGTTGGATTTCGCCTTTATTTCATTCTTTACTCTTACAAATCATCTTACATATGATAAAGGGAATTTGATAAATGGCTGGGATGGTCAAACCGACGACCATCCTTGTTGCGGCCCATGTCCAGAAGCTGTTCGATATGAATGTTAAAAATCCACCGGTTATCAGAGTGGCCAGACACGTGAAGAAGGACAATCTTCTGCCAATTCTGTATGCGATATAACGTATCAGCAATGAAATCATCCGTATCCCTGATTCGAATATCAATAACAATATGATTACCTGTCATTCAAGGTACCGAAAAGGTACACCCCGATCGGTCCACCTGTGTTTAAAGCGACTAATCCGATCGTTGGATAAATCGCATAATCGCATACGAGATTAAACTGTAAACATGTTTGAACACAATTATTCGTATTAAAATTAATCCTCCTTTCGAGTGAGGAGAATTTTCGAAAATTAAAAGCAAAAAAAGAAAAAAAAAAAAAAGAAAAACGTACATCGATAACGATAGAAGATTTCACTTCCGACATCTCGTACTCCCAACCATGATCGCATGGAACAACCGGCCACGATGAATTTGGCACGAACGAGGCTGTTGTCACGACGGAAATGTTTTCCGCTGTCCAATCGATATCGTATCGCGTGCATTGACTGTACGTTTCATTGTCGTCCTAATTACGAAACCAATTGTTACAATATTGCGAGCAAATAATAATTTAATAAATTTCCAGCCAAGCATGTATTCTTACTCTACCGATGACAAACCGTGTGAATCTTTTCCTACAATATATATGTATATATTTTTAAAGACTACTCTCTGCAGAAGAAAACAAGCTAACATTCTAGCAATTACTTAATTACCTAATTCCTCTATTGATTATACCGTATATTTAAGACAAGGGGTTAAATACAAAGAGTTGATATCAAAACGCAAAAATTACGCCTAAATCTTTCTTCGACTTAATTAAAGAATTAATATTATTATCAGCAATTAATATCTACGCTCGATCAAGCTTTGAATCGCCTAAATTCTTCGCGATGAAACGAATATATATATTATGGAGATAGGGGAGAGGGATGGTATTATTAGCACCTAGACCGAGAATTGCACCTGAATGGTCGGAATCGCGAGTCTCCTTCTTCGAGAGACATCCAGACTCTCCAACCCCGGTATTTTGCACCAGTGGGGTGGCGTGTCGGCCATGAACAGCTGGTTGAAGGCGCAAAAGCCGCATGGGAGACACGCCGGAAGGCACACGAGCCAGAGAAGTTGTTTCTGATAACGGCCGAATTCACCGACGATCGGTAAAAGATCGTCGAGATCGAAGCCATCCTGCGATTACGAAACTCCCGTCTCTTTTAATTTTTTAAACGATATCCTTTTCTATGTAATCGATAAAAATCACAAGTGGCACGATGACGGACAATTTTCAAAAAGTTTTAAATTGTATCTATTACAATCGTAAAAATCGATAAAAATTCGATGCGATGATTAGATAAACCTTGGAATTATTTGAAGAGATTAAGAAAAAAATATATCGCGCTATCGTGTCGAGAAATTATTATACGTATAATATATATATATATATATAGAAAGTAATAATAGACAACTTTTCCTGTAAATACTTAATTACATTTAGGAAGAACTTACTTCATTTTCCGCGCTATCAGTCGTCGCCTCGATGTTTGCCGACCCAGAGGTTCGATTCTCATCCAAATGCTCCATTCTCGTGAACTTTGCCCACGTTCAGCTTACCGAAACCTCGGCCGATACCTTAGAAACGCGTTACGTGATGTGCATTAGCTTCCTTCCGATAG